TGTGTGTGTGTGTGTGTGTGTGTGTGTGTGTGTGTGTTCTGTTAAAAGTATAGAATACTGTATGTACCATGTTCAAGATGTCAGCAGCCGGAGGGGGACGGAGACAGATGAGGGATTAACTGGGGCTGCTGAGCCTGTCTGTGGTAAATGGAGCTGCAGAGTGGGCACAGCGCCATGTGCCTATGGTGATGCTGGAGACCCGCCGTTTCCGCTCCGCACAGATTAGGGCTGTGTAGGGGTCAGTCTGGCTAATGGAGCTCATCGCCTGGTAGAGAGAGTGATGTTGGGGGGGTAGGTTCTCCACAGGGGGCAGCTCTGGTCTTATCTGACTCAGCCAGCAACCCTCTGCACAGTGTGTTCATAGACAGCATGTAACGCCATGTCTCTTTCTGCAGGCTTGTCTCCGCTGCTTTGAATATGACCGTTTTTGATCCTGTCCCCTGACAACTCCACAACAAGGAAGCCTTTGTGTCTTGTGGTTTGTTATTTCTCTAACCATCATTTTCTTCTCTTTGCTCTTCTTCTCCAGGGAGCGAAGCCGGGACCGCCACAAGCCGCGCAGTAAAGACAGCCGCTCCGAAAAGTCTGTAACAATCAACACGCCGCCTGCAGAGCCGCTGCTGGGAGACTCGGCCGTTCGGGGTGAGCAGGTCCAGGTAGGGCGGAACATGAATATCACTTAAACACACACACGCATGACAAAGCAAGAATGACCCACAATTACTGAACAATTTTCCCACAAGTTGCTTTATGGATTCCTCACATTTTAGGATACAGTTATATCGGTTTGTCCCATTTACAACGGATTTGGAGCACTGGAGATGAATCAGTTGCTAGTCAATATGAGTTGGAGTGATAATTGTGTTTATCAGCCTGGGCTGGGACCGGCCATCTGGTACTTTAGGCGAGGTCTGGGCCGCCACATTCAGGAAATCTATTTCGAACAGGATATGGATGCAGCTGATTGCTTCTCTAGTCGGTGCAACTTTGCTTCATCCCGTTTGTCAGAGTCTGTGTTCGACTGCAGGGACTGGGTCAAATGTTGAGAACGGTCCAATGCGAGATAGAGAGACGGCCACAAGGACCCCCGCCAAAGTGGACCAGGCCAAACTACAACAGCGGCTTTGCTGTTCTTTCTATTTTTCAGTCAAAACTCTAATCTCAGAAACCATGCAGACTTTAATTTCTGTTTCTGCAAGATCAGATGGATTATGTGATAGATTATTTGGTAAAAGAGAAATACAAGGGAGGACATAGTTTATTATTTAATATTTTGTCTGTTGCCGTCAAACGCCTATCACAGCTCTTGTTTCGGCAGCTCCATCAGGATGTGTTTGCTCTTTGTGCCAAATCGACTGACTCATGTTTAGTTGAATCTACCAGACAGTCGATGCTTGTTGGACTCATATAAAAGGCAGAGCAGATAAAAGACAGGTGGATCAGATAGCTCCGTGTTATCTGGGCAGGCTGGCTGCAAGTTGGCATGTTTAGACATGAAGCTCCTGGTAGCACTTGAGTGAAGTTCTCGGTCCAACAACATGAGTAACAGCTAATTTATGTTGTTGAGGCAAAACATGACAGCTTTGGATCAGGAGGAATATTTTCTTTCCCAAACACTTTATGTATGAAATATCTATTCAGTAGATTTGAGAGTGGAAAACAATGAGTCTGCTCAGTTTATGATGTCGGCTTCTAATCTTTGGTGTCACACTCCTCCGTCTGTGTTCATATTGGAAAGCTTTTATCTGTGCGGATGCATTTTATTGTTCAGAAGCCTCCAGATGCTTTCTGATATTTAACCAAGAGGAGGGACTTCATTGCATTTTGATGAGCAGCCGATCTGTTGTCTGTCTTGTGAAAATGTGGGCCGTCGTTCCTCCTTCGTGCTCAGAGAGCCGGGATTTTAAAGACTCGCTGCTGGCAAGGCTCAAGTGTCTTTAATGAAAGATGAGATGGAGATTTTAGCACAGTTTCAGCCTTGGCTTAACCAAACCAAACAAGCGTCTGGCACTGTGGCCTTCATCAAGTGCTCAGTTTAACCCGCTGAAGGGAAAAGACGACAAATACAAACACGCACAGACAATCCCACATTCACCGTCGTTTACTGACCTACTTGGCGCTCACTTTCCCTTGTGGCAGGACTCGTTAGCACGGCCCGTGTGACTGTGTGTTTTATTGTCTGCGTACTGCATCTAATTTTGCCACATGACAGGATTTGCCACAGAGCTCACAGCATCCTTACTGTTTTGCTCTTCATGTCTTATTCATGCTGTGGCCTGCAGGAGTGCTGCTGACAGGGTGGGGAGTGTTTGGCTTTAGTTGGAGTAATCAGGGCCACCAATTCTACTGAGAGAGGGAGGCTCAGCACAAATCCTCATGCTGTGTGTGTGTGTGTGTGTGTGTTTGATTTTGCATTCCGCTCTGCCCTCACACATATGCTCATGTGTGTGTGTGTGTGTGTGTGTGCGTCAGTCTCGTCTGAGTCTCTGACTGTGCAGTGCTGCGCTCGTTACTTCACTGCTGGGACTTAATCAGAGTCTTGGCTGACAGAGCAGCACATCGCTCCGGGCAGGGATGTCCTCACAATCCAGCACAAAAGTTTCTCATGGCTGTGATGCATCTGTGAGGCCTCCTCACATGAATTCTAAAAGAAGAGTGTTTGCTTTATTCGCAGAACTGCTCAGAGGATTTACCTTCTGTCGAGACACAGACGTTTTCAGACATAAACTCAAAATGTCAGGAAAATTGGGTTTCGGTCATGTGGGGTGGGAGACTGTCAGATGGCACCTGAGTAAATCTTTTTTCCAGGTTGACATCTTCACCAGTGTTTCATCCTGAGATATTTGCATTCTTTCTTTTTCAGTTCTGCGTCCGTGTCTTCGACATGTCCACTTGTTGCTGTAAAACGCTCTCACCTGCGCATGTTGCAGACATTTTATTCGTCAGGTGTCGAGCTACTGACTCAGACGTGTGTTCTCACTTAGTCATCTGAGTAATTAGGTCGATTTACCCTGCTCGTATTGTTGTACGTAACTGGATATTGGAGTGGATAGTGAGATCGGAGTGTCTCGGGTCAGTGCAGCATGCCAGCTTTGCAGCTCAGGAGAATGTTGTGTTGTCTGAGGTGTCAAACAGGAGAAACGTGATATGTTGAATCCACGAATTCTTTGAGATTCAGCGCCTACCTCTCACTGAAGTGGGAGAAAGTGGATTATTTTTAGATGTGTGTGTGCAGATTAGAGAGAGAAGCTTGTGTTACTGTGATTTGCATTGGTGGATCCGCAGCGTGTAGCCACAGGTAGCACACCGTGTTGTTCCTGCACTCGAGAGAGACTTCAGGTGTTTTCTGGCAGTGAAGCGGTGAAAAAAACGATTTGGCTCAAAATGCACTTGAACCTGTCTGATGTGCTTGGCTGTCATGTGATTGCACAACAAGGACAGTTAGCTTTTGTGGTTGCTGCATCACAGAACGCTGACGCTTGTTGCGTGGAGGCGCACAAAGAAAATGGTTTCTTAAGAGTTCCTGCCTGACTGCCCCACGTGGACTTGACTGCAAAACAATCGGTTACCCAAATGTACATAGTTCAAACCACTTGAGGTGGTTAAGAAATAATTCGTTCAAGTCTCTGTATTTAGAAATCTTTGAGATCTGTGTGTTTTAGGAGTTCATTCAGCAGAATTTGGTTTTTTTTGTATTTTTATTTCCCCGATTGAAGACGATTAGAAAAGTAAAACCAGAGTTGTTTGTCGTTGTGTTTGTCGTTGTGTCAGCACGACGACTGCACCACAGTGCTCACTGAGTCAGAAGCGATGGAGGGTGAGTGGTGCTGAGGCAAGAGACGAGTGGAGAGTGAGCGGAGGATGCCCGCAGGGAGAGAGGGATAAAAGGAAGCGAGGGAGGGAGAGTAGAGGAGGAGAGAAGAAAGATATCCTTGGGTGGATGGCTCTGTCACCTCATTGGTTTGTTATTTGTTTACCCCCCCATCTCTCCGTCCATCCTTTTATCCCCTCCCCCACCATCCCCGCCCCAAACACCTCTTCCCTCTCTCGCTCTCTCTCTCTCTCTCTCTGCCATCCTCCATAAAGCCCCTTACATTATGTGGCAAGTGAGCGCACAGTCCCATACAATACCTCCTGAGGCATGATGGGAAATATTTTTATATAAAGACGGGTGAAGCGCGCGGGGGGCGTGCTGCGGATCAGCAGAAAGTCAGGGAGGTCTCATACACTCACACGCACACACCCTGTGGTGGAACGCCGTGGCCGGGTATAGAGAGGATGTCTGCTGGACGGAGGTAAAGTTTGGTGGTGGAGGATTTCCGTCCCCCGACAGTGATGGAGGCCGGAGATGAAGTGTTGCAGGTCTTTGAGGTGTATGAGGCGGTAGAGGAAATAAAGGAACTGATTGTCACCACCATAGAAGAAGACTCAAACACTAACTCGACTCCAGTGGCCAGCTGTGGACCAGGGACCAAACCGGGTCAGGTAATTGAATATGTGGAGCTTTCCGTCGCTTTCTGTTTCTAGAATTCATTTGTGAGCTTTTCCCTGGGCACAGTTCTAAAGTGCTCCTTTGAGCCGTGTTATTAAATGTACGAGCAGGAGACACTAATCTGAAATAAACAACTTTTAAGTTTCACAGTAAGACTTAGTATTTGTCATTTTTAACTTGTAAAGCTCCTTTTGAAAGGGGCTATATAAATAAAGACTATTATTATCTTATATATTTAACGTTTGAATAATGGGGATGATCGAGGATAATGATATTACCGTGGCAACCTAATGAACGGTTCATTCATTTCCTCAGAACCTGACTTTCTTAATGCTCATTTCAAAAGAGTTAGTGAATCCAACATTCAAATTCACAACACGTCAGCGTCAGACGCAGTTCTGTAGAGTAGTGACTCCAGATTCTGTGTTCAGCTGAATCTCTCTGTGCCTCTTCTGGTTAAGTCACATATCTGAACACAATCCATTTAATTGGCCTCTTTCATCGGGTGCTGCTCGTCTGTCAGCCTCTCATTGTCCCACACTCGCTCGTCTATCCTGTAAATTAGCCCAAGAAACTTTTTCGAGTGCTTCCCTTCCTTGTCCTGACAAGTTCTTGGCGGCCTGGCTCGCTGTCCGCAGGCTCGAACAAAGGTGGTTTTAAATGGCTGTGCAGACGTCTAATGGGATGCACGCCTGCTGTACTTTACACACACACACACACACACACACACACACACACACACACACACACAAACACACACACACACACTTTGCCTCCCAGGAGTGAGTGAAGTGCACTCGGCCAACAACTGAAAACAGGCTTTTAGTGGACGTTTGATTTACGGTGCGAGACAATGGCCGTTATTTATATTCTGGTGGAGAATGAAGGAAAGAATATTCTCTTGAAAGCTTTGTTAATGCACAATGGCTGACATTGCGTGCTACTGTTCTCAGCCAGTGTGCCGTATGTACCTGCATACACACGATGATCTGACTAATCATTTTATGACTGTTCAGCTATTTGAGTTATTCAGTGGCTCAGGGCCCAGGTTGTTAGGAAGTTGGCAACTGAACAGATCACAGGATTATACCAGTTATTGCGGTTACCTCTGCCAAAGAGGTTCGGTTTCCATCGACGTTTGTTTGTTAGTTCACAGGAATGTGCAAAAACTACTGGACTGATTCATTTGGTGGGTCAGGGAAGAAAATATCACATTTTGGTTCATGTTTAGTGGACTGGTGTTTATGAGTGTGTGCGATACGGTGCAGATCCAAATTAACATCCAGATCTAGTGATTTTAAATCAGAGGACTGTGTTCTGCTGGTCAGTATGTGCATAACACGCACATTTCTGTGACTTACACCACAAAAATGGTTGTTCCACTCAGCACTGTGGCTGGATGTTGTAAGAAATTTGTGTTGTTTGTCCTTTTGGGTGTTTTTTTTTTGGCAGCTTTCACAGCATTTCTCATCAAAACCACCCTGAAGGCCTCTTGGTTGTCGCCCAAACCACCAGAAAATCCCTTTAATCCTGTAATGTAATATGATGCATCCTATGGGCAGTTCAAACGTTGCTCTGCTCAGCAGCGACCGAGTCACGATGCAGCCTCGCGTAAGAAACACTCTGATTCTGGTGCCGTGCTTTTTTTTTTATACCTCAGTGCCAGCGACAGCCAGAGACATTATGTTTTCAGGTTGTCCGTCCGTCGGTCCGTCCCATTCTTGTGGACACGATATCTCAGGAACACCTTCCAAACTTTCTCTTTAACTTGAGGATGAAGTGATTCCATTTCAGCGTGTGTGTGTGTGTGTGTGTGTAGCCCACCATCGCTCTGTCACAAAGTCAATAAAACAGTGAAACACAGTGACTGAGGTGAGTGTAATGAAACCACATCCCTCTCCAGGATGAATCAAACTCTGTTCATGGACAGATTCGTCATATAACCACAGTTTTGCTGTCATCACTGAGTCATGCTGCCTTCAAGTCGTTCTCTTGAGGATCACAAATGAAGTCCAGTTATTCTTCCTACTTACTGCATCGTAACTATTCAAACTAAAACGGGACAGTACTGATTCCTCGGGGATGAGGGGGGATATTTTTCATTTAGAGAATTTATCTCTCTCCTCTACTTTTGCTCGGTGGTGTGTGAGAACACGTCGTGTCAGATGTAACCTCCTGTAACCTCCTCTGTAACTCCTCAGCTCTGAGGAATCGCTTGTAAAACCCTGCCTGGCCTTGAATAAATCACTGCAGACGCGGAACAAGAATCGACCTGACGTGTGTTTAGTTTCACTGCGTGTTTTCACGACACACGTGTTGTTGTGAGTGGAGGATTTCACACGTTGCTCTGCTTGAACTGTGACTGCTTTACTTTCCCTCCCTCTCCGGCTCAGTCCCTCTCCTCCCTGTAATTGGCCGTCTTGTTATCGAACAGTCGCTCCCCCTCTCCTCCCCTGTTCCTCTCAGCTTCACCTACTTTCATGTGATGAATGGGACCCTGCCTCCTGCAAGGCTGCTGGTACTGAACCAGATCAGGGTTGTGCTGATTGGATTATCCCAGGAGGAAATGTGGGTCGCCAATGTCTATTTTTACTTGTGTCGGCAGCGGGAAAGCCCAGGTAGAGTAGTGCTGATCAAACAACAACAACTCCCCAAACTGAAGCAGACCACATGAAACATGCTGCAGGGCGTGTGGAGTCATTGAGGATGAGCAGACATCACATGTGTTGTTTTTTATGTCCCTGATGATGGAGTTCTTAAAGAGTCCAGTGTGTGATTCAGGCTATAAAACTAATGAGTGATGACAAGGAAGAGACGCGGTGACTCACGTCTCCCTCGGGTGCTCCCGTGGTACACTGTGCTCAGAGACACTCGCCTTTTACAACTATCGATCTCCGCTAAAACAAACACTTAGCATCAGTTAGTGGTCGGACAGGATTAAGACAAGAGAGAGTCTGTCAACAGTTAAAGCTGCAGTCAGGAGAACGTGGCTACATGGGCTGGGTTGTACAAAATGCTACACACACACACACACATATATATATATATATATATGTGTGTGTATGTAAGTGTAAATATAATATTTTGATTTTATTTGTTTAAATATCCGCTGTAGTTATTTCTCTTATGTGAACAGACGTAGATGTTTCCACCACGGATCGACGTCAGGTTTTCTCTCCACAGGGACGTGGTTACACTCCCACTCTCTGACCTTCTGAACCCGAGCCGTGCATTCCACCGTCTGGTTTACAGCTCGTGTGATGGGTCAGTCGTGATGCTCCACTCTGTCTGAATCTCTGCAGACAGTGGGATGAGTATTTACGACTGTGTATGTCATGTCAAAGGTCAGATGAAACTGACACAGCTCTCAGTGCTGGACCTCATCAAAGAGCCTGTCTGTGGAAACCTATACCAACAAGTCATCTGTTAACATGTCAGCTGCTATGAGTGATAGTGCTGCGATAAACTGAACCTCATGCTTGAGACTCGTTTTTTAATCGATACAAATTTTGATTAAATTGTCTGGATTTTATTTCCTTACACATCCAGAGAACTGTGAAAGAGGTTTTCACTGATGAACTCGTCGTTAATATTTTACGTTATCAAAGAAAACCAGAGATTTTGAAACTTAACACAAGGACACGACAGCTGTGAAGCCAAGAGCATACCAGAGCAACAGGCGGAGCAGTAACCCTAACTGCAAAAGCATGATGCTTCAGTCAGGATCAAAGATTTATTAGGTTCTGGTAAATGTCATATCAGTATAACTTTAAAAAGATAAAAACGCATTTGCTTGGTTCACAAATACTGAATGTACGTGCACGTTGTGGTTGTCTGTGCATCCTAACGGCTCCAGCTGCAATATTCTGTCCGAACTATACAACAGTTTTCTGTGTCCAGACCCGAGCTTGATGTTTTCAAGTAGACAACGTGACTGAACCAGAATATCATTTTAAAACTTGTGTCCGAACCCCGCCTGGCTCAGATATCCACATTCTAGTTCATAAATCTGTCCGTCCTGTGAACACAATATCTAAAGAACGCCTTGAGGGAACGTTCGGTTGGATTCCAGGATCAACTGATTACATTTGGGTGGCCTTGTAAGAACGTTATCGTAAGAACGCAGAATCCTTTCAACTCGAAAACACTCACAGATGAACTGGTTAGATTTCAGTAATCAAAGGTCAGAGGTCACGGTGACCTCATGTGAGTTTGGGGTAAAAAATCTGCAACCTGAAACTACACTGATTGGTTGAAGTATACAACTGCAGTAATACTAGTTTTTAATAGAATGCTGATATTTTATATGTTTCAGTCTCTGTGATATTTATTAGTCAAACAAGTTTAAGCCTCGTTCTTTAAAATGATCCTTTAATAAAGGGAATTTGAAAAAGTATTTTCCAGTTTTCCTGTTTATTCTCCTGCTCCGTCCTCCTCCAGTGCACGAGCATGAAGTATTGATATTGTGTGTAGCAGTGAGGAATCTATTATTAGCACACACACACACACACACACACACAGAAGCTTCTTTCAAAGACAAGCTAAGCATTCTGCCTGGATCCTTCTATTGTTCTGCTTCGTCTCTGCTGTTTTAACCCTGAGGCCGGTGGGATGTTCTCTGTCCCAGTGCACCATCCTCCTGCTCCTCCTCCTCCTCCCCCAGTTAAAACTGATCATAGTGCATCTCCGTGACCCGTCCATGATCCCGGCTCTGCTGGTGTGGAGCTAATGTCATTGAAACATCCTTAAAATAGTGCTCATCCACGCTGAGAATAACATTTTGGTAACGATGTCTTTGCCGTTATTGAATCCTCATTATTTGACCTCCTTTCACCGGCGGGAGCTCGCAGGGCGACGCTGGCGGCTTGTTATGACTGCAGTGTAAAGAGTCCTTATCTTTGTTGTTCTAATGGCTCTGCTCCGACACCGCTGACCTTCACTATCTGCGGATGCAGTCCGGCCCAGACGTCAGCGTACAGCCCAGTTGGCAGCGCCCTCTGTTTGCTTTTTCCACTTCCCATCTTCTGTTCCTTTCTTTCTCACGTGCATGGAAAAAAAAACTCGCTGGCATTTGTTGAGCCGATGCTTCGGTGAAAATCAGAAAAACTGTGTGTTGAAATGCAAAGTCACGACATGACATCCAGAGAGAGGAGGATGTTGTGGTAAAGGCAGTCCACTCACATTTAAAATGCGTTCATTCATTTTGTTTGTAAAGTCATTATCAATAATCCAGCTCATGAAAACAATGTGTCATAATTTACAGAAATAATTTAGGTGGAAATGTTTTGTTCTTGACTATCATACCATCTTCTTGTTAATGTTTTTTATCAGGTGCATTCCATATTCGACATATTCAAAGAAACCTTTTTTGTTTCTTCGTTTCCAGGATGACAACTGGGGCGAGACCACCACAGCCGTCACCGGCACATCAGAGCACAGCCTCTCTCAGGAGGATATTGTTCGCATCACCAAAGACCTGGAGGACAGCGTGGGGCTCGACTGCCGCCGCTACTTCACCCTGACCCTCGCCGTGATCCTGGGGCTCCTGGTGTTCCTGACGCCGCTGGCCTTCCTGGTGCTCCCCCACCTCCTGTGGCCGGAGAAGCTGCAGAGCTGCGGCACGGCCTGCGAGGGCCTCTTCATCTCCGTGGCCTTCAAGCTGCTCATCCTGCTGCTGGCCGTGTGGGCTCTCTTCTTCAGGTCGCCACGGGCCGGCCTCCCGCGGGTCTTCGTCTTCAGGGCGCTGCTCTCCGTGCTGGTGCTGCTCTTCGTTGTCTCCTATTGGCTGTTCTACGGAGTGAGAATACTTGACTCTCAGGTGAGCGATCGTTGCTTGTAAGTGCACACTTATGTGGAAACTCAAGGGACTCTGCAGACAAGTGCAGGGGGAGACGACTCAGATGTCACATTTATTTTTAATGCTTTTAAAAGCTCAACAAAATCACAAAACCAAAACACAGATATTTGGCATCTGCAGGGCCGTGTGTTTACTGTGAGTCATAATTTAAAGTCCCTGTTGATCGCTCATTCAGAATTTACACACACACACACACAAATGGTGGGGCGGGCGGGGGGGCGGCTAGAAAGCTTGCCGTCCTTTGAAAGATCTCTAAATATTCATATGCTCTACATCTTGTCTTACATGTTCACGTTCTCTTTTTTTTACGCCCCAGGAGTATTTTATGCCTTATTTTCTGTTTTGAAATATCTTTGCATGTATTAACTGTATTTACACATGGCCCCCGCAGGACGAGAACTACCAGGGAATCGTGCAGTACGCCGTGTCGCTGGTGGACGCTCTGCTCTTCATCCACTACCTGGCCATCGTCCTGCTGGAGCTCCGGCAGCTCCAGCCGTGCTTCTCTGTGTGCGTCACCCGCTCCACGGACGGAGAGATGAGGCACTACAACCTGGGGCAGCTCAGGTGAGAAGTAACAAGCAGCATCATTTTGAAGGTTCACGCTGAAATCTGTTACGAGCATTGGTGGAATTTATCTTATGAGACGTAGAAGTCGAATGTGCAGAATACACAGGTGACCTCTGTGCGTGTAGAGATGGAGGACAGAAGATGAAATTGAGTAAAAACAAAGGAAAGGGCGAGATAAAGAGAAAGATGGAAAGTGGGACACCTTAAGCAAGAGATGGGAAATGACTGTCGATGAGAGAAAGGAAATCGTCCAGGAAAGGCTCACAAAAGTCAAGAAAGCTGTGGGATGTGCCTGAAGGAAAAGGAATGTTGATGAAGCGAGAGAGAAAGATGAAATGTTAAACCAGAGATGGAGGAAAATGCAGCAGACAAAAAGGCTGATAGGGAGAGGAAACCGTGCCAGAAAAAAAAAAAAAAAAAAGCCAAGGGAGACTTCAGAAAGGAAAGAGCTGCAGACAGAGGGCGGAGAACAGAGGGAAGACCCAGGAGACTGGAGCACGGAGAGAAGACTACGGGAGCGAGCCAAAGAGAGAATGGAGAAGGAGGGATTAATAGTTAATGGGAGGATAGTGTGTTGAAGAATCTTAAGATGTACGTGGGAATGAAAGAAAGGGATTGTGCGTGTGTGCGTACGTGTGAGAAAGAAAAGACCAGCCAGGTTTTTTTTTTTTTTACGACCTCACCGCCTCTGAGGGAAAACAGGAAGATCCCGTTTTTAGCCAAACACAATATCTCTCCTGCTGCTCGCTGGGATCAATACACAGCCGCCAGCCTCACATGCCCCCCCCCCCTTATGAATAACTGTTAAATGCTGATGGATTTACAGATGACAGCTTCATGACAGGGTGGATGAAACATTATCCTGCGTCTTTAGGGTGGTGGTGATTTTGTAAGGTTTGTAAGTGTCCTGTCAACATTTAAAGAAAAACTCAACCTCTTTTTTTCCTCAGTGGCTCAGTGGCTGTTTGATTTTGAGTTAAGAATTTTACCTTTCCCCTTTTTTTAAGGATTTATTAACACGACATCACCACCCAGGGTGCTTCACCACCCTAATCCCCACTTCAGGGGAATCTGGTGGGGTAACGTCCTCTGAGTGCGGTGGTGTTTGTGTGGTAGCTGCTACACTCAGTGGAACCAGAATTCTATGAATAGAGTTGCATCAAACTGCTGTAATAGCATTGATTTTAACATTGATTTTGCATCACTAGAAACCGGTCAGACAAGTGAGCGTGTGTGTAACGGTCTGGTTGGTGTGTTCGCTGGCTGCCTTGGGCGTGTTGTCCTTTGTGAGCGGTGCCATTCATCCCTGCTTGGCCCGGCAGCGGGCCCGGCCTCGCTCTGTTGTCCGTCTGTGACTGTAAACACTCGGCTAATTAGCGCTCCCTGCAGACCTCAGTCGAGCATCTGGTCAGCCTGACACACCCGCATGGACACGCACAAACACAGACACGCGTGTGTGCATGGGTAATTGCACAATATACATGCAAATGACGGGCGCACATGGCGCCACAATCATGAACATGAATGAAGTTATCGTGCAGAGAAACCCAGACACAAGAGCCAATGTCTCATGTATCTCCTCCATGAACAAGCTCACGCTCCTGTTTACTTGGCTTCATCCTCAGCTTTATCACAACCAGACCCTGCTCTGGCTCTGGGGTCCTGAAAGCTTGTCTCTGTCTGCAGGGTGTTTGATGCCGATCTGAGGGCCGGTGGATTCCTTTTTTTTTTTGTCCCCTCATCAGAGCCGACAAGTTGAAAACAAACACATTCCTCATTGCCGGGGAGAGATGTTGCCGAGGGCTGGCTGGGGGTTAAACACATTCACTGCTGGGAACTTCCCAGTTTACATTCCAAGACTGGTCAGTCCTGAGCAGCAGCCTCACTAACTGGTCTTTTTAACGGAGTTAACATGAGAGGTGGGAATCGCAGGGGAACTCGATTGTGCATAAAGTCTTATCCTAGTGTCTTAAACAAACTATAACTATGAGAGTATGTATGTAAATGTATAACTAAATACCCACCCCTAGTTTACACACACCACACAGATGTGTTAATGCTTTCGTGTCGTGTTTGCTCGGCTTAATAATTGATCGGCGTTGGGGAGCAGCAGGAACTCTCACTCAGCTCTTACGCATGTGGCCCCTGAACAATGGTCCTGTCTGTTGTGGCGTTGACTGGTTAACGTAGGAGCCGTCTGGGTTCCGTGAGTTAAATATCACACTCTGCTGAGCGCTGCCTCTGGCCTTTTTTTAAATCATCTTTATTACTTTGCTTCTGGATTTGTTAGATCTTAGAGAACAATTTAACAATGACTGTAATTTAGAAATACATACAATATTTATCTAAATTACACCGTTTTCACACATTCTCAAAAATCACAAAATAACGGTTTTATATTTTGTATAATTTATTTAGTAGCTGTGACCTGAAGTGTGTGGATGCGTCCATCAACTTGTGATTCCTCACTGTGTCATTCTTAAAGCCACGTGCAGCAGCTCCTCCTAACCTGCTGCATGTGCTTCTTATTACTCTGAAGAGGAATCAGGCTGGGACCTCGGATTTTCTGACCTCGTTGCTTCCAGAACAAGTGTTTCTGCAATAATATTATCACATACAGATATTAACCACCCAGGCACTGAACCTGAATTTATCCACAACATAACATTCAAAGATCAAAGCTGCGCCAGAAATCACTTCCCTTACTGATTTTCAGGATTTATTATTTCATGAACAGTTCCTGGATCTGCCTCCTGATCTGGATCCGAACCAGCATGATAATCCGTCCAGTAGTTATTGTGTAATGCCGCTAACTAACAGACAAACAAGCGCTGATGAAAACATAATCTCCTCTGCGGAGGCAGTGAATCAAAACGTTATAGTTGCAGGGCCTCCATCCATTAGCTGCACAGCTAATCCCTCTAAAGGTCACCGGGGAGGTGGAGTGAATCCCAGCTGACACCGGGGGAGCCGCAGGTCGTAAAACCAGCACAATACGTTTAAAGTTAAGACTTTATTAATCTCGGAGGACGTTCTTGTGCCAGCTTGCTCCAAGATTACAGAACAGAACAATATAGAGTAGAACAGAACAGTCATGTGAAACTGAAACTACTTTAGAGTGTTGGTTTTTCCAGTGTTGCTGCTACACGACCTCGTCATTATTGTAACGAGACTGATTCCTCTTCTCTCCTCTCCAGCGTCCAGCGGGCAGCTCTGGCCGTCTTAGAGCACTACTACTGCGACTTCTCAGTCCACAACCCGGCGCTGCTCTCCGCCTCCAAGTCACGGGCCGCCAAGCACCTGGCCGGCCTCAAGGTCTACAACGTGGATGGTGAGTTCCCAGCAGCCCCGGCTGAGGGTGAGTGGGATACTCTTTGAACTCCATGTTGTGTGTGTGTGCTTTTGGTTTCTCTGTGTTACAGAATATAAGTTTATTATTTACTTGTTAAACTGTGGATTCTCAACTCATATTATTGTATGAATAAAGAATAAAGAAATAAGATTTTAGCAAGCAGAACCCATCCACTGGTTCTGGATCTAAATTCTTCTCATTGTTTCTCAAGAAACTACAAAACCTCTGATATGAAAATAATGAAATCAATCTCATAAAACGTTATCCTCGAAATCTCCGTCTTTACGTTGTCACACAGGAATAATAAAAGACATTTTGCGAGTTGCTTCTTGCGATAGCTCGTCCGTCCGTTAAACTGTCTGTCTTCACTGGAATGTGCTGAAACTAGTGCCTGGGAGGAAGAAAATCAATCTGCAAACACAACATGATAGGAAAACTGCCAAAGGTAAATTGAAGCAGAGGTGCTTTGAAGTAAATGGGCGACAAAAATGTAAGTGTGGTAATTTGAGATGTGCCTCACCCGTTCACCCTCTGGTACGAGATTCAAACTGACTTTCTCCTCGTGTGTCTCCTCACACTGACGCTAACCCTGAAAGAGTTGTTTCGAGCGAAACTGAAACGCTACCTGTTGGACAGTAAGTGAGCGCTGCCTCTGACCGACGCACCCTCACAGCCTGCTGCTGGTCACTGAGACGCACGGATCAAAGGCCTGTCTGCACAGATATGACATCACACAGTGGAACGCTCACTACACATCACGAATCCACTCGCTCGTCCTCACCCTCCCTCCTCACCCTCCCTCCTCACCCTCCCTCCTCACCCTCTGCATGCCACAGGTGGACGGAAAAGTTCAAAGTCGTCCTTGCAACAGCTGGCAGAGTGTAACACGACCCCTCCAGGAAATGATTGCTCTCCCTTAAGTGTACTCGAGCTTCGGTTAAGTGCACTGA